CCCCCCCCCCCGCTCTCTCTTAAAAAAACAAAAGGGATGGGATGTAGCTCAGTGGTAGGGTTCCCCTAAATTCAATCCCCAGAATATAAAACAAAAACAAACAAACCAAGTTAGAAGTTTCAAATTTCATGAGTGTAAGAACTAAATTCTTAAATTTAGAAAATTCTGAGTCTAGACAAATCACTTTCATCTTTCTCAAGTATAACTTTCTTAGCAAGTATCTCCTTCTTATCTAAAAAGGTAGAAAGTCAGTCAGTGGTTTATGACACTAAGTAAATGCCTGAAGGGTCTGAGATAAGCCCACAGAAGGACCAGTAAAAATCTATAAGGGAGTGGGGTGCCTGGACTGGTCCTGTGGACCATGTGCCACAAAACCAATACCTTAAGTTCACTGTGGTGAAGTGCTCCTGAGGCTGACCCCAGCTAGCCTATCCTGATAACCTAATGAATTGGTTCAGTCAGATATTCCGCATGAATTTATAATTCTCATGCTGCTAGGCATGGTGGCACAAACCTATAATCCCATTGACTTGGGAGGCTAAGACAGGAGGATCACAAGCTGGAAACTAGCCTCAGCAACTTAGTGAGTCCCTGTTTCAAAATTTTAAAAATAAAAAGGGATGGGAATTGTGGCTTAGAAATTAAATGCCCCAGGTTCAATCCCTGATGCCCCCCCCCATTTTTTAAAAATTATAACTCTCATGCTATGTGGCTAATATTGAATCGGAGGATATAAACCACCCCTGTTGCCCTCAGGCGAAGAATATCTACATACATGGGGGTAACACATCAACACGGGAGAACTATCATGGGTCAGCAAGGGCTCTATTATTTGTCAACATGTGAGCCCTGTCTACTCCCAATTTTCTGTGCCTAATAAACTCATTGTAACTATTGTAAACATGTGACACAGGCATAAAGGGTTTCCAATTTCTAATTTGGATTCTAAAATACAAAATGAGCCCATGAACGGATGGTCAAGGACTTCTACAATGCCTCCTGTCCCACTCACACCCATCTGTCCAAAGCACACTTCCTGCTTTCAGACTAGTGCACAAACCCATAACTCTTCAAAATTATACAACCTACACATCTGATTTTAGGTCTTTCAACATGCTTCCAGGGCACCAGAGCTAGGAGAGGACCCTAAGAATGGTCTGATTTAATTCCCCTTGAGCTAGCCTTGGTCTGTCATACTTGATGGTATCAACATTTATAAGATGCACAACAAAATCCTCAAAACTTCCAAGAGGAAAATAGTACTATAGCTTTTTAAAAACCCTGCAATAATCAAAGGAAGCGTGAGGTTGTGATCCTTGGAGACCTGTCGATGACTCAACACGCTAGTCAACTTGCAAGGATGAGACATCTAGAACTCTCCAGGAAGCTGCACCTGGTTGCATCCCTAGGTAGAGAGCCCCTTCCTTGCTCTGGCCCAGCTCTGCAGATACAGTGCTGACACGATCCAGTAACATCAGCTTGTGGATAGATCTGCTGTTGAGGAAAGGGACAGGTGGGCCTGTCTTCAAATACTGACACAGCAATTTTGAGCATATTTTACCAAACAATAACATAGAATTAGAAGTTTGATCCATGTTAAATCATATCTTTGAGCTATAAAAACTATTTCAAGTAGGTATTAAAAACTATTTCAAGTAGATAATTTTAAATTTCCAAAGGCTTTTAACAACAGCAAATACTGACTGTCTGCCTAACATGAGCCAGACACTGTTAGGGGCTAAAAAGAGAGACTAGGACATCTCTGGCCCTGTTGGAGCTCAGTTTACTACACAGACATAATATAGTGCTATGTGTGCCATTAAGGAGTTGTGAACATACCCAAGAGCAGGTATCAATATGCGGAAAGAGGAACAATAAATTAAGATTCCCTTATTTAAGGGAATCCACAAATATACACGTAGCTACAATCTGGTCTCAACAGACAGACATTAATCACTGATGTCTACATCATTACACACTTCAGAATAGTGATCACAGAATAGAATCTGACAAACAAGAACACAATATTCATAACTGATCAGTTTTTAAGTTATATCTTTAGGTTAACAGAGTGAACATTTGTCTGCTATGAGATTCTCTGCAAAAAGTGCCTCTAGACAAAGTGTCATATTTCAGAGGACAGAGGTTAGACACAATGTATTTTAGCCTTTTTGCATTTATTATTCACTACCAGTTCAGCTGCATAGTTAACGTCAACAGCAAAGCCCTTCTTCATGAAAACGGCCTGCACAATCACAGCATTACATAAACATAGGAGAGGAAAAAATATTTTAAAATTATTTCTAACATTAAAGATTTCTTGGTCTTATGACAACACTAATGCTGTTGCTGGGTAAATGAAATGTTCACAGATGCAATTTCATCCTTTGGTAGTTCTTAATCAGTTGAGATGCAGCAGTAAATGGAAATGTGGTCCCACCCCACACACTACTCTGAGTTCTAATGCATTTAGCTGGGTAGGTAGTTAACTTCCCTGCCAACTAGGGACAAAGTCTTTCCCATGATTCTTCATTTTAAAATGGAGTGAAATTGCGAATGTTTCCTTGGACTAGTATTCATTCTCATTTCCTCTCCTGTCTGCAGTTCACACCTGCTGCCTTATTTCCCAGCATCTTATTTCCTGTTCTCTAAACCTTTCCAGCCTATTTGGCAATGATAAGACTAAAGTGCTAAGAAATCACCAGCCAGGGGACCAGTTGGGTACTTAGTCATCCAGATTGTGTGGCAGGGTACTGTGAGTCTGCCAGATACCCTAAGGCACAGCTTTTCTTCCCCTGGGACTCTCTTAGTCTGGGCACCAAAGAAATTCCATGTTGAGGGTGCTAGCTCAGGTGTGCTCTTCTATTAAAAAGATACAGGATGAGCTATGTTTTGACCTCTGACTTTGACTATTCAAAAAATACAAGCTTAGGGCTGGGATCGTGGCTCAGTAGAAGAGTGCTCACCTAGCATACATGAGGCACTGGGTTTGATCCTCAGCACCACATAGAAATAAAATAAAAATATTGCGTCCAACTACAACTGAAAGATATTAAGAAGAATACAAGCTTGTTATCTCCTCCAATATCAGATATGCTTCAATTTTATAGTTTATTAAGAGGTATTAAGGTAGAGAATCTACAAGAAAAAGAAGGCAGGCCTGCTGAAAGTCCACTTGGCCTGTAATCTAAGGCCCTAGACAAGTCACCTCACTTCCCACATCTAGAACTACGTTTAGGAGAGCAAAACAACTGTCTCTTAGCTCACACCAAGGGCATTTGTCTTCTGGGTGGGAACTTTCCAAATGATGTCGACTGACATATTTACCCAGAAAACTACCTCAGTGAACAATCAGCATCACCAATGTTCAGGAAGACTTCCCTCGGGCTATCAGAATGCAATCTGAATGAACACTAAGTACAAACAGCTCGAGTTACGAGATCCCTGTGATCATCATCACTCACTTCTTCCTGTCCTATAATTTACTAAGTGAAACAACAATAACTTCAATTGTATTTAAAGGAAGGAAGAAGGAAGGAAGGAAGGAAGGAAGGAAGGAAGGAAGGAAGGAAGGAAGGAAGGAAAGAAGGAAGGAAGGAAGGAAATGACTTCCAGTTTAATTTTAGATGCATCTAGTCATTTTAACAAAGAACACAAAGCATCCTAAAGCAGAGGCTGGAAGACATTCACGGAGAACAACAGTTTTACAGACAGCTGCCCACTAGCACGCATCCCTGCAAAGTCCTGGCCTCACCACTTGACTGACTGTTGCATGGACAAGGGTAACTTGGGGACCTTCTGGCTGTGCTGTTCCTTGTCTGCTAAGGGGATCATGGCAGCACATCCTTCATAGAGTTGTTGTGAGGAGTATAAGAAAGGTCCTTAAAAACAGTGCCAGGCACACAGCAAACCAAGAACCGAGAGCTCTGTATTACTGGTCTGTGAACTAAAAGTTCCAGAGGGCAAAGAATGGACCACCACAGTATTCGTGTGCAGTGTCCCCTAAGATAAGAAAAAGGGAATGACAGTTAACATCCTTCCCAGATGCACCTTCTGCTACCTGGAAGACCATCACCACCACCACCACCAC